TGGTAACAAAAACTTCCTTGATTCAACAAGTGGTGGATGCTGAACACTTTTCCTCCCAGGGTCCAATGACTGTCGGAGTGGCCAATATTTCTTGATGTAGTGGGAATCTCTTGCACGACTATCCCATTCGCAGAGAAAACAGCAGTACTTTGTGTATCCAGTCTGCAGACCAAACAAGAGAGCAACAACCTTCAAATCGCCACAGAGCTGCCACTGATGTTGGTCATAGTTTATGCACCTCAAAAGTTGTTTCATGTTGTCATAGGTTTCCTTCATATGGACTGCATGACCAACTGGAATTGAGGGCAAAACATTGCCATTATGCAGTAAAACAGCTTTAAGACTCGTCTTCGATGAATCAGTGAACAGTCTCCACTGATCTGGATTGTGAACGATGTTGAGGACTGCCATCACACCATCGATGTTGTTGATCACCTTCCATGAAGAAGAATGGGACAAGATCCTTTTGACGGTCACGGAACATGGAAACGCTACCATCACCTGCCAGGAGATTCCACTGCTGTAGTCTGGAGCCCAACAGCTCTGCCTTACTCTTGGGTAGTTCCAAATCCCTGACAAGGTCATTCAGTTCACCTTGTGTTATGAGGTGTGGTTCAGAGGAGGAGGATGGAAGAAAATGTGGGTCCTCTGACATTGATGGTTCAGGACCAGACGTTTCATCCTCTTCCTCTTCCTCATCTGACTCAAGTGAGAATGATTCTGGTGCATCAGGATCCGGCAGTCCTTCTCCGTGGGGTACTGGGCGTATAGCTGATGGAATGTTTGGATAATGCACAGTCCACTTTTTCTTCTTTGACACACCTTTCCCAACTGGAGGCACCAGGCAGAAGTAACAATTGCTGGTATGATATGTTGGCTCTCTCCAAATCATTGGCACTGCAAAAGGCATAGATTTCCTTTTCCTGTTCAACCACTGGCGAAGATTTGTTGCACAAGTCTTGCAGCATATGTGTGGGGCCCACCTCTTGTCCTGATCTCCAATTTTGCAGCCAAAATAAAGGTGATAGGCTTTCTTAACCATAGTGGTTATACTGCACTTTTGTGCTGCAAAAGTCACTTCACCACAAACATAGCAGAAGTTATCTGCACCGTTCACACAAGTACGAGGCATCTCTGCTCACTTTGGCTAAACAGAAATGTGTCCCTTTGCAAAATCAAACACTGACAAATAAGAGAGCATGACACTGTATGATTTCTAGAGCTGATATAGGGCAATTTGTTCAGCAGAGTGATGTAAGCTTCGTTATGATTGTATCATCCATGACTTCTAGGAATAACATGATGCAATTCATATCATGTATGATGCAATACCAGCTTCAGATTGCGTCATTAACTGTTTTGCCTAAAAAGCAAGTACTATCCAAACCCAGTCATAGATTTATTCAAAGATCCAGTCAAAGATGTATTTTAGTCATTTCTGGTTCAAATTGAGATCCCTTCCCTTTATAACTCACTTATCCTCCGCCATTCCCAAGTCAAGGGTCGTATATACTGACCCATTAGCATATCTTGAAAACTAGAGCCAATCAACAATTTTAAGCATCATTTTCGTTCTCAGTGACCCAGAATTAGTAAAGTTTGACTACATTTATTTCAGAAGCATTTTGGCTGTAGAGCAGTGTAATGAGACCATCCACAGTAACATGAGTAGATTTAACAAAATAGAAGGGATATAAACCCTCCTGCTGCAGGGAATGACTGATGGGGCTTAGCAAGAAGCTTCCCCTTGTTACAATTCAGGGCAATTGCATCAGTAGTGTAGCTGGGGGGGAGCAGGGCAGTGGCCGCTCTCCCACTGAGCACAAGTGGTGCCTTTTCAATTTCTTAGCACCTTTTTAATTTTTACTCACCCGGCGGCGCTCTGGATCTTCGGCGGCACTTCGGCGGCAGGCCCTTCGCTCGCTCTGGGTGTCTTCAACGGCACTGAAGGACCCACCGCCAAAATGCCACCGAAGACCCGCGGAGCGAGTGAAGGTCCCGCCGCTGAAGACCTGGAGCACCGCCCCGTCAGTAAAAGCGCCGCCGGGTGAGTAAAAGCTCCGCAGCAGGTGGCACCTTTTTTTGTGATCACTCCCCCTGTTCCCTCCACCTGGCTACGCCAGTGACTGCACCTGTATTCCCCCTCTGTGGCCTAGCAAGGGCACCCACTCTGGGCTCCTGGCTCCTCAGCTGTCACTTCTCTAAGGGGGAGAGCCATGTTTCTCTCTCTCCAGAACAGGTTTTTTCCAGGCTGCACAGTTCCCTGTCTACACTGTATTATTCCCAGCAAGCCAGACAGCCTAAACAGACCAGCGTCCTCACTTTTCTCTCTCTTCGTAATTGACCACAGATACAAGTTACCACACAGCTCTTTCTAAGCAAGCACATTTATTGTTAAGGTGAAAGCACTAGAGAGAAAACATTAAAAATAATAAGAGAACCTACACACATGCTAACCAGTTTACCAAAGACTGCTCCAACTCCAGCAGGGTCTCTGGTAGGAGTCAGTCC